CCCATATCATGATTCATGCCAAAGTAACAGCCATTTTCTTTATTTCTTATTTGCTGTCATTGCTTCCATTTCTTCATTTCATCCTACACTTCTTATTGCTGTTATAGTTGTTCTTTTATCCTCTCTTCTAACTAAAAATTGTCTCAAGCCAAAACCACAGACACATATGTGAGCAACTTCAAACCAATCCTGGGGTCCCTGAAGTCTTAATCCAGATCCAATTTTTGCAGCTTTAGCCATCTCTAATCCCTAATTGCTCCTGTCATCTCTTTCTCACAGCCTTGGCTGTAAGCCACCATGTTTTATGCTGCCTTCTGTGCTTGGAAATAAAGTTACAATGCCCTCCTGTCTCCTTAGTCTTAAAAACATATTTATTTTCTGAATGCTTCCTTCCAGTGACTTTTTTGCTTAAAATTTTGTATATGAGCTGTTGTCAGCATTTTGGCTATAGTGCATACTAACACTCATGACATGTAGCTAAAACCACAAACAGCAGGCTGCCTTGTGGTCACTCCCCCGAAGAGAGGACACCTACGTTTTTGTACGGGGTCCAAGGGTTTGGATTTGCAGAGCACTTTTTCTAATTAGTATTTCTTGTAAAATATATAAACAGTCCTCATCATAAGAATTAAAAATCAGTGTGGGAATCCAAACCACAAAGCTATAAAGACATATAACACATGATGTTCTCTTTTTAGTGTACCGAAATTGTACACAGCCAGAGCTTCAGAAAACAGAGCAGCCACTGAAACCCAGAATGGTCTGGTGTTTTGGGCTCCCTGCTAGGAGGTGGGAAAACAGTTTTTCTATGTGCTTCAAGAATGACAAAACTCAAAACAGGGCTCTGGCATTTTATATTCACATTTCAGTCATTGAGTTGATGATATAACTGTAATATCTGCAATAAATTCCCTTGAGTTTATAAAAGAAAGCAGTGAAAGCACTGCATTCTGTGTAGAGGGTAAGGCCATAAACCTGTGTATCCTTTGAAAATACCAGCTACATAATGCACTTTCAAGACCATTACTTCTGTATTCTTATTTGTATATGCTGTATGGTGTGAAAATGCAGTTTTACATGTGAAATTTCCACTCATCTTAAAATAGTTTCTATTAGCTTAAGGGACTTCTATAGTTTGATCTTAATGTAAAAGTTTAAAGAAAGGATTCGCATTTAGTGCTATCAGCACTGCCTTGAAAAGAGACAAAAATTTTCAACACATTAAAATCATTATATTGTTGGAATTTTTTTTTTTTTTTTTTTAATTTAATTTTGGTGATAATGGTTTGGGGATTACTTTTTCTTTAAAACTATAGTCTAACTGTGATTGATATAAAAAAGGTAACACCACAGTAGCTTGCAGAAGATCTCCCATTCAATGAAAAGCTTAGTCCAGGCTGTAGATACTGAGAGTTACATGGACTGTAAGCTTACGTGACCAGCAAAGCCAGATGTGAATCTTCAGAACACTGACACATCGGCTCAGGAAATGCCAAAGGATAAAGGTTTATAAAAGTTGCATTTGTGAAACAGTCAGCTGTAATTTAGGAATATTTTTATTTTCATAATAAACTCACTTCTACCAGTGGAAAAGAATAGCTCTATTATGCTATGTATGATTCATGTATTATGGAATAGTAGTAATAAAACAAAGTAGGAAGCTCAGTTTAATTAAAAAATAAACAATTCCTTAATGAAAGACAATTCAGCTTCAGAGCTAAACAAGATTATGTTTATAGTAGGAAAAAGCTGAACTTAAATGTTCAAATTATCAAAAAATCTATATTAGATTACCTAATTTAGTACTGTAGTTCACAGGCAAGATCTTCAACATGAGTGTGGCTTAATGGCTGCCTAATACGAAACAAGCAGTAGTGCCTTGTGAAGTTTCTTCTGTCCCTGGAAAGCCTGGTTACAGACATTACCCAAAGTGGCAAATTATCTTCACTTTTTCATGGTGGAATAATTTTACTAATTTTAACTATCTTATACTGGATTTATAATGACTTATGATAGTTTGGAATAAATTCACTTACTCCCTGACAGGGAATAAATTCAGAGTATTCATCTCAACTGTAAGCACTCCTGATAAGAAGCAACTGACATCCCAAGACATTGCACTGGCCTAAGCCAAGAACTAGCAAGGAGAATACTCTGAACTATGAATGCTGGATGCACAAAGAAAGGTAAGATTTGGTTTGCTAAGAATTACAAAGTGAAAACAGAGAATCCCATATTTCCACTGTAAGTTTGACATTGTTCATACATAATGGTTCATGCCAGAGCTATTTCCTTCTCTCTCTCTCCCCAGTATAAGCTTATTGAAAAGGCTGTGGTATGAAACCTTTGCCAGCAATCTTTACCAGCAAGACTGACTTTCAGGAATCCTAGGTCCCAGAGGCCGGACTGAATGGATCTATCTTTGGTAGAAGAGGATTTGATCAAGGAATATTTAAGCAAACTGGAATTGCAAGTGCTAAGGGAGTTGACAAATATGATTGTGAGGACACTCTTTAAATCTTTGCTCAATCGTAACAACTGCAAGAAGAGCCTGAAGAATGGAGGAAAAGAAATGTCACTTGTATCTTCAGAAAGTGTAAGAAGGAAGACTCAAAGAACTATAGGCTAGTTAGCCACACCTCCATGGGAAGGTGATGGAATAGCTAATCCTGGAAAGTTCTTCTTGGAAAACAAAAGAGAAAGAATTCATCAAGAGTTGTCAGCATGGATTCATCAAGAAGTCATGTCTGACCAACCAGACAGTTTCTATAATGAAATCACAAGCCTGATGGATAAGAAGGGAGCAAGATACTGTTTTCCTGGACTTCAGTGTCAACAAACATCTGAAGGGAGGGTGCAAAGTGGATGGAGACAGGCTCTTTTCAGTGGTGCTCTGTGCCAGAGAGCAGGAAATGGGCACAAACTGAAACACAAAATGTTCCATCTACACATCAAGAATCACTTCATTACTGTTCTTGTGATGAAGCACTGGCACAGGTTGTCCAGAGAGGCTGCAGATTGTTCTCTTAAGCTGTCTTCAGAAGCCACCTGGATGTGCTGCTGGGCACTCTGCTCGGGGTGTCCCTACTTGAGCCAGGAGTTGTGCCAGATGTACACAACAGTTCCTGCCAACCTCAGTCACATCGTGATTCTGTGATATACATATATGTATCCAACATTAAGGGAGAAAAAAAAGCAGTATTAAATTATGAAAACATACTTTTTTAAGGTCCATTCCTGCCTTTATTTTGTCTAGATTTGAGATATCCTAGTAGCTGTTTGTCTTGTTTTAAGAAAAAAAATAATACAGAAAACTTTGAGAATTAAAGACAGAAAATCAATGAAAATTACTCCTTTAATGATTTTTATTTTTGTTCCATTTTTGAATTATCATGTAAATTCAGTTCTAGGTGTAATAATTTTCTTTTCTTATAGAATCTAGTCTTCTATCCTCCACCTAGGAGATCTAAATTAATTTTACAATGATATATGTCCTCTGAAGTGACATTTAGAGCTCGATGAGCTAGATGAAAAGCAGAAAGTCTGTTCTTTAAGACTTTTTTTTTTGTTTTTAACACTTAATTTTGGTCAAAATCAAGCAGAACAACAAGGGAATTTGTAATTTCCCAAACTTTGCAGACCTCAGAGAAACTGACTCTCTCATCAGCTAACAGGACACTGAGATTTTCACCTAGAAGCTATACCGTGACTCTACAGAAAATCCGAAAAGACTGTTTTCCTTTCCAGCCTGTGTTCCTTGCAGCTCAGCCACAAGGCTGAGCACATGAAGTAGTAGGGATTCTGATAGTTATGTCTTGTTTTCAGACTGCCTCAACTCCCAAAATGTTTTCAACTCAGTATTTTGTGTAATCAAATAAAGAAAACTGTTTCGAGTACTGTTAGATGGTCTTTAATATTATGCTTACATACTGATTACTTTGTAGGATGGTAGTTCTAGAAGAGCAAAATTTGTATCCTAGAACTGGCAATGAAAAGTATAGAAAACAAGAGGGGAGATTATCACCTGTACGTTTCATTTGTTGCACAAGTTACACTCTGCAAATGAAGTAAGGATGCAAATCTTGATTTCCTAATAAAAATTTGTCACTAGAAAACATAATTTTAGCAGCTGCCTCTGCCCCAACATTCCCATAAGGCTCTAGAAAAATTACCACAATTTTAAGAGTAGTCAATAATTTTACCTTCCTCATTGTCCCTGTATTTCTCAATTAAGACTACCTAATTATCAGTAGAATAGAGCTGGCAGAGCACAAAAATCAGCAGAATCTGGGCTCTGACCATAGCATGAACTCCAGAGAGATAAAATCTTGACAAATTTTGAGCTAAAGCATCTCAGAGTAGACATCTAACTTTTACATATCTTAATATCACTTAGTATCACTTTAATCCTCTATATGTAAAGTGAAAATAACAAAAGCAGCCATCTCACAGTTACAGTATGAAAATAAATCAATTGCCTATGGGCCATTGATATTGAAAGGATGGACATCACAGAGAAACACATGAGTAAATTAATAATTCTAACTTCAGCACAAGGTTGAATAGCATGCAGGAACCAAGATCCAGAACCACACAATATGTAAAACAAAGATATGTTGATAGAGCAGGGAAGGAGGTCTGCTCCAAAGTATTATGCATGAATCTACACCAAAATTGAAAAGCAGAGACCCAACATGGCCAAACTATTATTGCTCATGACATCTTCATGCTTAAATTGCCTGATTTTATTAGTTCTTGATTTTTCTACATTTTGAAACACTTTTCTGTGTATAAGATATGCACATATACATATTCAAGTGCTAAGTATCTCACATCTCTTTTATTTCTTATCCAAAATAAATATAATGTCATTGTAGGAACTTCTCTTTGAAAACCATCACCAAAGTGCAATTAATATAGCTATGGTCCTATATTGCTTGAACGGTCTGTGTCCAAATTTTGAAAGGGAAAAGGAAGTAATAAATTCTGCTTGAACTTACCACAGGTTTTAATCGCACAGAACTCCCAGGGGGTGTTAGGGTCAAGAGTGTAGCACCATGGTCTCAGCTTGCCATCAGGATTGCGGCAGTAATTATCATCAAAGCCCTTGTCAGGATATCTGCAAACCACAACACGAAAAGTGTCAGGCAAGCCTTCCTGGCAGTAGTACACAGGTTTGTACAAGGTACATAAAGGACTGGCTTTAGCAGAGGAAAATAAGAGCCGGTTCCTATTAACCTCCGGTCTGATCCTGTGAGATGGATGCAAATAGTCTTTAACACTATTAGTAAGTTAATAACATAAAATCTCTTTCTAAGTGTGCAGCAAAATCAGGCCTCCACAGAGGGGCTTCCCTGCTGAGCTAATGCACAGGCCACCGGATGGGGTAACTCTGCTAATTGCTAAACTCTTGCTCTTTGTCTGTCAATCGATGACCAGACTCTAAAGCCACTCATTTTTTTGAAACAGCCCAATTAAGTGTGGATTATATAAACACTGCCTGGCAGGCCGGACTCATTAAGAAGGCAGGTTCTTCAGTGCAACAGCCCTGGGTTCAGACTGGAATCTATTTTGAATAGCTCTGTTACTAATGATAGCTCCATTTTTGTAACAGAGCTTGTTCTAGGTCATGCCCTTATTTTGAGCATTGGGAGAAAAAAGGAGAAAAATAAGGAATTAACTTCCGTCTCAGTTTATCTCATTAAGATTTGAAACCATTCTGCCATTTAACTATTTCCATGTTCCTACTGCCATCATTGAACTGTCAGGAAGAGATTCGAGATAAGGAGGTTCTTTTTGTATGCTTTGTATAAAAGTACTATACAGACATCTATGAACTTAAGGAGATTAATGCGTACTTTTTTTTCTCCCGTATATACAAATTGTCTTGGTTTTCCAGTTTTAAGGAAACATGTTTGTAAAAGAAACAAAAAGTAGATTTGCCCCTGAGGGAAACATGAAAAGATTGTAAGCGAACAAAGAACTTAACTACCTGGGAACCTGAACCCATTTACAACTGCAAGCAGATGTGTTTCACACAAGCATTGGAAGATATGATTTACAAGCATATGTTTTTGCCAAGATGTTTTTTCTATCAAACAATTATCCTAATATCAACTCATACATTTGCAACATGATCTCCCATTCTTTTGGTTAAAACAGTCTCCTTCATGTATGCAAGGGATGGGAACAGGATTCAAATAGAATAAAAAGAAAAAGAAAAGAGAGAAACCTCACAGAAATGAAAAGTGAAGGGATTTTAGAATATGTTCATTTCAGACCTAGCAGCAGCACTTCCTTTTCTCCTAGGTAAAAGAATTTGTGAAGGAAAAAACATGCATCTAAGGATTTCAGAAGCAAAAAGTATAACTATAGCTATTGGACACCTGCTACATGCAGGGATGAATTTTCATGTTGGTATTGTATGTTCTCTGTAACGTAAACAGTCCACAGAACCAGAGTAAGTCCAGGAATAGCAAGGTCTCTGCAGTCATAGCTCCCTAAAGCCATTCAGAACAACAGGGTACATAAAGAATCTACTTTCTAGAAGACAAACATCATTCCTAGTATTGTATAGTATGTCAAAAATGTTATTTACTATTCTGAACTTAAGTATAGATGTAATAATTCTTCAAGGATAAATCTTTGACAATTTTTGTCAGACAGTGATGTCCAGATCTTTCAATCTACATGTCTATGTGTCTTATCTATGTGAACAGCAACCTTCCCAGTCTGCTTCTCCTCTCAACATTCTCAGGCCTGCCTTTGCCTAATACAAGATATAAGATAAACAATGAGGCTTCAAACTATTCCACTCAATTCCACAGTGAAGAATTCCCTGAGATCTTGTCCATTTGCTCTGCAGATTCTCCTACCCCACAGAATGCTTGGGTACAGATCTCTTACTTGGATCCAATTAAGAGTCCAAGGTTTCCAAAATCTTTCAGAACACTTGAAACATCAGTGTCTGTACTTTACTGCTCAAACTGAAATGAAGCATGAAGATACACATCTGATGTCAAAATCAAGACTTTTTCTCAGTTTCTCAGAAAAAAAAGAAAAAAAAAAGGATGTTGGATGAAGATGTGCTTACTCTATATAGCAGATGCCAGTGTCTAGCTCTGCTGTTACTAAAGTAAAACTGAGTGTCTGAAACTCTTACTTTATCAAAATTTCTTTTCACTTAACTCTTTGTCACCTTGTAAGACATACAGAACTAAAAAATTGATTATTTTACAATGCAAATTTTTATACCGGGGTACAAATCAGAGTATTTTAAGAAAAGAATATCTACAATTATTAAACTCGTATATTACACATAAATCCTACTTTTCTGCAATAATAGTATTTATTTCCACAACATAATTGCTTTGTAGAAGAATGAGTATAAGAAGAAATGCTGCTTCTCAATGCCTTTCAATGTCTCTCTAAGCTATTATCCTCAGTGATCTTTCTTTCATACTGAGGCATAAACCTCCCTCAGATGAGGAACCTGGAGCTACAGAAGACAATTCTGCATCCACTAAAGGTTAAAACTGGGTCATCCCTGAGTTGTTTCAGGGTATTCCTACTGCTAGCTTCAATCACTTCTAACACATATTATCAGTTTTCTTCTGTTCTCTAAACTCTGACAGGAAAAATTCTAGAACAATTCACTTAGATGACAGAAAAGGGTGTGTATTCATTATTTTAATTAAATTAATTTAATTGTATGCCTCTCTAGAGATTGCTATATCGTTTGCTCCAAACCTCCTCCCTTATTTTAAAAGCTACCATTATCCAAGTGTAATTGGCACTACCTTTAGTACCATTTCCTATAGTTAATTAACAACAGTGTACTAGAAATGTCCTGGATGCTATTTATTACAGTTGTGAAAGCACTGATAGATGTTTCAGTTAATATGTATTGTTTTTTATTTAAAAGAATAATAATAAAACTACAGCTTGAAAATAATCAAGAACATGTTTACTATAGGAATTATAATTAGGAAGGTGATCATGACTGAGACTGCAGCTAGTCTGAAAAGTTAGTTTGTGAACAAAACAAAATCTGTGGAAAAAGAAAAAAATCCTTCAGGCAGTGAAGTTATTATTTTTTGTACCCAGAAGTTCTATAGATGTTTTGTTCCCAAGAAACAAAATTCCTTTTGTGACTTATGCTAGGGTGTAAAGCATGTGCATGGCAAAACTCAGAAACAGATTATCTTCAGTCCCATACTGCTAATACAAAATATTAATTTAGCAGAAGTACAGGAGACTCTGCTAATTATTCATACAACTGATCATTTTAGCCAAGAGGAAAAAGAGTTTATGTCTCAGAAACTCCAGAACTGTAGGTCCTTAATGTTTTTCTGAAAAATAAGACTTTCTGTGATCTACATTACTGTATTTCTGAGCATTAAAATCAGAATAAATGTAGTGGAACACTTCAGAATATATGAAAATATATCTTTTTTTTCTATATGAAGATTTCTGTCAGTGGAAGGGAATTTTTCTTGATATTACTAAAACATAACTCCATGTTGAAAGATGAACAGCTTTTTCAGGTATAACGCAGTAGTCAAATACTTTGGTCAAATAAGATGGATCATAGAATCATCAGAATTTTTGGAGTTAGAAGGGTCCCTAGAAAGTCATATAGTCCACCTCTCCTGCAACACCTCCAGATAGATCATTTTGCTCAGAGCCCCCTGAATGCCTCCAAGAATGGGGCATCCACCACCTCTCTGGGCAGCCAGTTCCCATTCCTCACCACCCTTATTGTAAAAAACTTCTTCCTTATATCCAAACTGAATCTCCCTTCTTTTAGCCTGAAACCCTTTCCCCTTGTCCTATCACTACAGAACCTGCTAGAGTCTGTCTCTTTCTTTCCTACAGCTCCCCTTTAGATGCTGAAAGGACATTCAGTTCTCCCCAGGGCCTTCCCTTCTACAGGCTGAACAGCTCCAGCTGTCTCTGTCCTCAAAGAACAGGCGTTCCATCCCTTGGATCATTTTTGTGGCCCTCCTCTGGATGTGCTCCAACAGGTCCACACCTCTCACATACTGGCAACTCCAGAGATGGATGTATTACTCTGGCTGAGGTCTTACCAGAACAGAGTAGAAGGGCAGGATCATTTATTTTGCTCTGCTTACCACACTTCTTTTGATGCAGCCCAGGATGGAGAGGGCATATTGCTGGCTTATGTTCAGCTTGCTATTATCAAATGCCCCCAAGTCCTTTTTGGCAGATACTTGAACTTGATTAGAACAGCTTTAAAAACATTCTATATTTCAAGGTATTGATCTTTGGGTAATGTTGCAAGTTTATATTCACAAAGCATGTTAACAACTCTTGTATTAAAAAGAAAAAAAAAATCAAACTTATTTACTCCATAATATTTTAAGGTATTTTAAGCTGACTGAAGCTGCATAATGATATATCCAGAAACATTCACAGGTGAATTTTTTTACTGATGATGAAGCAAGGGAGGAAATTTTCATGAACTAATGTGACACATATAAGCCACTGCACTGTACAGAATTGGGATGTAGTCACTGCTGCACAAAATAGTCACTAGTCTTCATCCTGCATCTCCATCGTGACTGCAACAAACCTGCACACGCCATGGGCAGATGTCCAAACAACTAAAACTGTCCAACTCCATTAATTTCAGCAAGCTAATACTTCTTTTCCCAGCTAGTTCCAGAATTTGTACAATTTTCAAATGAAAACCACACAGATTTGCATGGCAATGAGAAGGATGTTACCTCTCTGGACGAAATTTGTGTTTGTGTGGTCTCTGAAGGTCCCAGCGCTGACACTCCTTGCCTGACTCAGTATGATCCATTGGCCCTCTGTAACTCTCTCCATTGCAGGTCATGCATTCAACTAGAAACGAAAAATATAGTTTTCTAGTCATTTATTATGCTGGTGAATTGCAGCATAAATATATATATATATATATCCCTGCTGTTATAAATTGAAACCAACTTAGAGAGGTATAAAAATTGGTATCTTTTAAGTCAGGGCTGGCTCCTTGGAATGGGAAATTTCATTCAGAATTGAACTGCATCTCTTTCTCAGATCTAATCCAGATGCCTGAATTTGGTACCACTTTATAGGACTCTCACAGTTTGGAAGAAGGTAGATGTGAGCCGCTATTTGTGTTCCTAGTTGCTTTTTAATCTTACCTATTACAGAGATTTGTTTGAATTCTGATTTTAGTCTGTAATGAAAGTGTTATGATTACTGACAGGGAGAGACACAGATAAGGAAAGAGCATTATTTGGAGGTGATATTTTCTATTGAAGTACTATTCACAATCCTAAATCACTCTAAGTCATACAGCTCTGTAGAATAGCAGCACTAGTTTAGGTGCAGAATAATGCCTGAATTACAAATTTCAGGAGGTACAGTCTTTAAACTCATACCACTTTCAGCTATGTATAATATTGTTTCTTTTCAATACTAATTCTTTCTGGTAACTTAAGCAATTATACATTTTCAGTCGTGGTTTAGGAAAGCGGGAAGGTGGAGGGTAAAAGCTATAAAAAGGATTTGAAATTGCAATTAAACAAAATATGCTGCATAATTTGGAATGAAAATCTTAAAATACAACAAATTCATCCTAATCAACTGTAGACACATTTCTCAAGTGCCCCCTAATTAGACTAATTGTAATTAAGGAGCTCTTAGTAAATAATAGTTTATGCAACTATATATCTCATTCTTCAGTCAAAACATTCACTGCCAAAGTTTTGGTACTGCAGTGAGCTCCAGGTCTTAACCCATTTGGTACTCCCTTAAATTGATCATTAAATGTCAGCCCTTAATAGGTTTTCAAACTACTTATAAATCATTCTCTTCCTCTCTCCACTCCCTTTTATTCCCCCTGCACTGTGCATCTATTGCATATAACATATCAGCAGGAAAATTGAAGGCATCCTATCCTGAGAATTTAAATGACTTGATTGACTAGAAGTGAACTGACTGATTAGCAAGATGTAAGAGCTTGGTTTGGAAGTTAACAGAACATAAAAGTCAGATGTGATGAGGCACATCAATTCAATTTCAAATTCTGAGACTTGAAAGTGAAATGTGACTGGCTTTCCTAAATGTTTTCCTAATTTATGTAATTCAGTTGAAAAGCAAAACATGTTTTTACTTTAAGGATTTGTCATGTAATTCACTACTTACATATTTTCATCAAAAAGGTGAAAAGTTGATTTTACAGTAGATAAATCAGAAGTTCTAGTGAAATTGTTAATGGATTCACTCTATTGGACAACGAAATAAGAGATATGTTTATGCAATCAGCACAACTGCATTGTTCTAAATTCTCTATGACCTGAGTAAGAGCTAGTGATCCTGAAAGCTTATTCAAGATCTTTTCCTCAAACTAGTTTTCGTGCAGCAGCATTCATTCTAGCTAAGAAGTCGCCTTTCCTTACTGCAAAGTCCATAGGTGAGAATTAGAGAAGCTAATGGAAGTTCTGTGTACGTGCTCTATGTACAAAAAAGACACATTTTGGCATGAGCCCCCCCTTACCTTCAGAGCAGAGGGGGATGTCGCAGACTTCATGGCGCATCTCTGGGCTGGTGGTGAAACACCATGGCCCTCCCTCTTCCCCTCGGGGGTTTCGGCAGTAGTTTTCCCGCAGGTCTTTACCCCGATAGCTCGAAGGCAAAAAGCTAGTTTTAAAATGACAATCATTACAGCATCAGAGCATGCAAATTTCAGTGTTAATCATACTATTTTTATAAACAGTTAGAAACAATCACATTTCTGCTTCCTTCTCCCTCCAACCTGCCTACGCAAATGCACACATCCAAAAATCTATCTGTCCATACACAAACACACATCTTCAGTCAGTATTACTCAACCAATGGCCTGTGTCTGGGACAATTTTTCTAGTCTGTAGCTTGCCCTAGCAAGTTTTATTCCTATTCCTCAGGCATCTTGAGCCATTTATTTGGCTCTAGAAGAAGGATAAGGAGGGTAAATTTATTACAAGAATGAAAGTAAGATCCATTGGCATGTAAGACCTGCTGTTCAGGTACTCTGTGCACACATGCAGCAGGCTCAGTGCAGCTTGGTGCACACCTACACCATAAAGACCACAGAGAAGTCCCATACCTGGTCAGGCAGTAGCTTGAATTGAGCACCAAGTGAACATGGCTGAGCAATGAGTGCATCACACCATGCCAAGATGCTTTCACTAACTGAAACCATGCCTGCTTTTCGTTCCAGTACCAGAAATGCCCCAAATCCCTCTTTCAATGTCTTGCCGCATGTTTTGACACAAGTCCCACTGACATCACCATAGGATCTGCTAAATAAAGACCCACTTGTCAGTGGGTCAAACTGGGTCATTTAAGAACTACCTCATGAACAAAAACTTTTCTCACTCTTTCTTTGTGTTTTCTTCTTTTGGTGTAAAGGCCTATTACATAACAATAGCATTATTCCATTACATTAGAGGTTTTCAGGGCAACCTTAAGCACTTTGTTTTTTTGAAGGGGTTGAATAGAAATTTGTGCTGATACTGTATTTTTGTCCTGACAGATATTTTCAGTATGATACCTTCCTATTATTGCCCAGTCCAACAAATATGAACTCTCCAGGGTCAAGGTTTTGTCTTCTTGACTGTCTGTAACATTATGTGATCAAGACACACAAAAAAGCTAACTCCATGGTAAGGAGCCTAACCTAAGAGCTCATCACTGCACAGTCTGCACACTGCAGACAAACCCAGTGCTCCTTCACTGACAGATTCATTGCAGTGTTGCTTAAACACCAGCTAAATTCTATAGTTTAAAAAAACCAACCACCATATTCAATTCAGAATTACACTTAATTGCATGAACATTTCTTTTTTTCATTTTTTTTTTCTTTTGGTTAATTGAAAAGTTGTGAAAAATAAATTCTGAATCAGAAAAAAACTTGTAATTTAGCTTAATAGTTAGTAGTTTAATTTCTGTGATTTCTAACATTTATTCCACTTTTTCTTCAATACATTTAAAATGGGAACATTACAAATAAAGTACACTTTTTATACTGAAAATGCCCTTTTTAATGAATTTTTTTTTCTTTTATTTTTTGGCTTCTTTTATATTATTTTTATTCAGTAAGGGAATTCAAGAGTATCTATATTTTTGAAGAAAGAAATGCATTAAAATTTAATCTAACTTACTCTGAATAAATACAGGTACTTGAGCTCAGGAATCTGAGCAGAGCACGGGGGACAGCTTTTATACACAAACACTGATTTAGTTTATAAACAAAAGCAAATGAGAAATATATCGTCTGTTGTCCCTGGCAAATGCCATGTTATGAATGAATAAGAAAATATATAAAAGCAGACATTTTAATCATGTTTTATTCTAGTTAATGTAATCTTTGAATTAACTGAGGTGGAAAATACCTCTGTTAAAGACACTGTGGTTCTAGCCTAGGCAATGTGGAAGTAGTACTTAAAAGTGCTTTTATCATTTTTGCTGCTGGAAGAGAATGATTTCTCTGTCCTAACTGCTACTTATTAAACTGTTGCTTCTATTTTCCCTCTGTAGTCTTGCAACTCTCAAAAAACTTTAACTAAGGACAATCCTGAACAACTTTTTGATGGTGTGTTACAACCTGTGTAGGTTTTCATGTGATATGTCAATGTAGGTTAGAAAAAAAATATTTAATCTTGCTTCTGGAAAAGTTTTCAGCTTAAAAAACGATGAACATAGGAAAATACTGGCATCTCAAATTATGTCAGATCTACTGTTAAAACATAAAAAAAATTGTGAAAGGATAGCATTAAAAAGTCAGAATGGGTCACATAGACAACTGGCTTCAACAGGTATGGAAGCAATGTTCTTGAAAAAGCAAGAGATGAAACATTAAGCGCTCACCCGGAATTATACAATGGAGCCACTCTTAAATTTGTATATTGGTGAAGTTCAACTGCATTAGCCAAGGAAAAAGAAAACAGAGCCAGAAGATGAGGCCAACAAGAGTAATAGTAAAAGCAGATTCAACCACAACTAAAGTAGCTGGAAACTAGCAAAAAGTCTGCGAAGTACTGGTCCAGTCTCAGACCTTTTCTCTTTGACTCGTTTTATATTGGGTTTAGCCAATTTTATAATGGATTTAGCCATTTAGGTGATAAATGCTTAAGAAACAAAAAAAATTGAGAGAGAGTTTTGTAATCTGTGCTAGGATAGGAACTAAAATAATCTGATCCTGATTTCAATGAGGAGTCTTTGGGTGTTACTGGAACAAAAAATAATTAAACGCATTATTAGTTAAACTTAAACACAAGTTTAAAGCTTGAAGCTATTTCAAATTTTGCATGAAAGATCAAGAAAAAAAATCAGTAAATTATATTTCTTCCTTGAATATGAAAAAAAGAAAAAGATTTATTTTCTAACTGGCAGTTTGTGATAATCAGTTGTTGAGAAAAACTGACCTAAAAATCTAAGCCTTTCATAATAATAAGTTCCAAACACACCACTACTGTCAGCTTCTTCCCATCTCCCTCATGTCTCTGATGATGAAATCATATTTTCTGATGTTGAAAAACAAAATTAGCAAGCAGCCACCTCATTTATCCAGTGACCTTTTAAAAATTAAACTTATTGCACAAGAGAGGAGAAAAGTCATTCTCATAAAATTCATCACAGAAGAGTGGCTCTCCAATTCTACTATATAGAGTCATGTTTGCTATGTATTAAAATGTAATTTGGTGACATATTTCTTTATTTTATTACATAGTCACAAGTATATTATATAAAATTAATGCTTATCCCTGCTTATTCCATGATTACTGAGAATTGTTTCACTTCTAAAAGATGAATATTGTGTACCTCAAAGTGTTGAGTCTCGAGAGGTCATTGCCGTGTGGGCTGATGGCATTTATCATATGTTCACAATTAAGCATGGTCTGGTCCAACACTGAAAATCAGACACATTACCATCTATATTGTAAGCAATCAAGTCCAGTCAAGTTCAAGCCTGAGGCTCAGCTCTGTGACACATTATAAGAGGAGAGATCCCAAGTATCCTTCGCCTTTTAAAGTTGTTCCAAGTTCTCGTCTTGCACTCTAGATAGATTTGGTCAGGACAGGACTGAGCAGCACACAGCCCAGTTCCTCATTAGCAGTCTCCAGCTTGGCTCTTGCTAAGCAAAGTGCTGATGTTGGAAGAAGAGATCAAAAGTCAGCAATGTGAATGGGAAACTATCGGGTGAGAGAAAACTTTTTTTTTTTGCCTCTGAAGGGTTTATCATCTAAATGGTTGTAACCCAAATGAAAAGAGTCAAACAGAAACGGTCAAAGAGTATACAAGTGCCTCAGTTTTTTGGTTTTTTTTTGCTAGTTTCCAGCAATTTTTGCTGTGATTCCATCTGCTTTTATCATTACTCTTGCTGGCATCCGTTTTTTTGTTTTCTTCTCTTTTCTTTACCTAATGTAGTTGGAATGGGGCTATTCTCAGAATGTAAAATCTGTAGTCAGTTCCTCACTATACCAGATCTTAAACTCAAAAGTTTAACTGATCAGTCTTTAGTTACTGCTTGTGCGATATGAAGGAAAGGATTTAAATCATCTGCTCAGTGTTTTCATGTATTTATTGCCTGGTCTAAGTGCTTTATGGAGTTTAATATATTCTGCAAATAGAACAGAATAAACAGTAACTATGCAAAATGTGGTAACAATAATTATATACTGATCAAATAGGTGGGCTGATATTCTTACCATCCTTCATTTCCTATGATGTATTTTTTTAAATGACCCATTTCCTAGGAGTCCATTGAAAACAGTGATAAACTTCCAGACTCTGGGCTGAAGTAAAGCAGCTGTTTTGCTACTGCCAGAAGCTAAAAGATCAAAAGGAAATAAACAGCTGAAAAATCCAATGCAGGAGAGGAGGGGATCCAGACATACAGACTGGTATTGGAGGGAACTCTTTGGAGAAAGTTTAAGAAGGTTTTTTTTTTTCTGGAACCTGGAGAATGGCATCTCTCGGGGAAGACTACTCCTAAGAGATTTTGTTGTTTAAGGTCAGTGTTCTCATAAATTCTTTGTCTGCTAATAAGTCAAGCTTTGCTTTGTGGAATCTGTCAGAGCACTACTCCCACTGTCTCTGCTCCTGAACTCTTACCTGTGCTCATGGGGGATCATTGAATTCCAGGCCTGACACTGAATACCACTTTTGGTAATAGATATTGTTCCTTTGTACTCAGCTCCTTTTCCAATTATACAGTTTCTGACGTAGTCTATTGAAAGCAAAGGAAACAAAATTAGGACTTTCATTAAACACTTTACCATTGTCTCTAAAAATAGTTCTTCATCATCTTTCACATAAAAAGAATACATTTTTAATACATTTTAGAGGCATCATTATTCAAAACATACTTTTGTTGTCCATATACATTCTTGTCTCTTTTATTATTTTAAAAAATTTGTGAACACTATCTTGACAAAGGACGTTACTGAAAATACTACCAAAGTGTCTGACTGACAAAAATCCATAACTTGGGACTCCACTCATTAATTAGGAAAATAAAAGCAATAACAATTTAATAGCAATTCAATAATTTTAAGTCATACAACTGGGATTCTAAGTAGAAAGATGATGTAGACTACTACGTGGAATATCAGGCAAATACGTAGGTTGGAAAACAGCATGAACAAGTATGCAAACATCACCACCCTTGCATAACAGAAAAAAAAAAAAAGAAAGAAATGAGGAAAAAAAAGTTATTTGCAAGCAAAGCTGTAAGATGTTCAGAATGCATATAAGCACCTTATGCCCAGAGTACATCTACAGCCAAAAAGTCACTGACTGACCTCAGCTTTTATCCCCCACCCTTAGTTGGAAAAATAAAATAAATAAATAAGTCAGTTACCCTTCTTTTCAAACAGATCAAACGCATGGTCTTGCTTCTTTCTCACACCATTTGTCAAGCTGTTGAAGGATAACCAATGGCACCGTTTTGTAACTCTGTCATAAGCAAAGGCCCTGCAAAGAAAATCTGGATGAGAAAAAAATCTGTGTGGTTTGTAATAATGACACATGGCTTGCCAAGGAGCATGCAATGACTGCAATGACATCAGATTTATTTTTACTGGGAAAGTCAGAGAAACAGCCCAAATTACTATTTAAACCCACAACTGTGTTGACAAGAACAAAGAAACAAAGAAATTAAATTGATGTGGCCATTACATTAAATACTAGCTTGGTTGTTCACACTAATCTAAGAGTTCCCTTGTTGTTAAAGGTCTTTGTTTTAAAAGTGAGATAAATGTGACTGAGACAGCATTTGTGTCCCTAGTTGCATTGCTTTCTGGGAAGGAAAAAAAAATAAATAAGTAAATAAAAGGAAGATTAAAACATCTTTGGTTTTCTTAAAATATGCCTGTGAAAGAGTTAACTATCTCACACTAACAGCACATTAATAGCATGAGGAAAATTCAAGCACAAGATCTCTTTCTTGCCCAGAACAACAGAGCTATTTGAAAACAAGATTATTTTTTATTTTTATAAATAATCTGAACTGTGATAGTGTACCAAACTTTGTCCTTGCTTTGCTTCATTTTTTTTCTCTTATTTTTAACTGTCTTCAAGGATAGAGTACAAAGTGTGCTGAATTGAGCAGAATTGGGGGTCAGGGAGGAGGGGCAAAAAAAACAAAAAAAAACAAAAAAAAAAAACCTGAACAATAATCAGAGCAGTAAGACCACTTTTTGCCAATATTATTTTTTATTTTTTATCAATATAAAGTTTTTCTCTCAACAGTATTTTGAAAGGTGTTTTCTTAACTGTAGGCAAAATATTTTAAAGGCTTTTAGAGGATTATCTGGAGGAGGAAACATTTATTTCAATTAACAATCAAAAAAGAAAAAGAAATAAAAGAACTAAAGAAATTTTTTCCCCTAATTTTCCAGTAGGGAAAAAAAAAATCACTCTCATGATACTATAATCTATAAACCACAATACAGTTTTTGTACTAGCCATCAGTAATCCCAAATATTCTCAGCTATTTTGTTCTGATTTGAGAAGGCATTTTAACACTATCTGATAGTATGCAAAAGACACATGGATTCTTACACTTTATCCTTATTTTGCCTGTGCACTGCAACTCCAACTTATAGCTCTTGATTTCCTTGTAATTCTCCTCTTGCCGCACAAGTTTTTCTGTGTGAGATCTTGCTGGCTTTAGTTTAAAATATTACAAGATCCTATCCAACCTCCCCTCTTTCAAACATCCTCTTCATTATCTTTTCCATCACCAAACAGATTTTTCATCCAACTGCTCTCTCTACACTGTTGACTCCAAATGTTTCCAACCTGCTAACCTTCATCCTTCTGCCTTTGTTCAGCCTTCTGTTCTCTTCTGGCTAGTTCTCAAATTTGAGCACATCCAAGTGCCTCCAACTCCATCTTCACAAAAATAACCTTGACCTTTCCTGCCTTTCCGATTACATTCTCCATTCCCCTCCTCCCTTTTAAAGTGGGAATGCAGAATGCACTGTTTACAAACATTTCTTTCATTTTTTGCTTTCGGTTGCCTTTTGGTTTCCTTCCAGCTTGGCTTCATCTATTTCTGCACATGAAAGTTCCCACCACACTTTTCTTGGACACAAATCCTGAGGATTTTTACAGTTCTGAAGTCAACATATTTAGTCAGATTCTCGGACTTTCTTCTACTGATACTATCGATCACAATTTTTATGTTGCTGTACGTACTGAGATAATCAGTAAACTTTCTGACCAGGTACTGGAGTCTTGTGGTCTAGAATGCAATCTCTTGCTGTCTAAATGTGAAATATAAATACAAACCAGAAGGTAAGAGGATAACAGTGTATAAGACTACTGTATCTTCATAAGTAAGTAAGTGACAAAACAAGTGCAATTATTTAAGTGATTGAGAACTACTGTTTGGATCAGTACTATCACTAGAATCAAGCCATGAAAAATGTCAATAAATGCAGGTATATAAAATCAAATACATAAAAAGTAATTTTATGTCTTTGATTTTTTTTTTTTTTTTTTTTTTTTATGTTCCCACAGATACCAGTAAACTAGTTGATTTTTATTTGATTTGACAACAAATTTCACCTTGTAATGTCCATATACTGGTAAGAAGTTAAAGAATGGCTATCCTAAGAATGAAATGGAAACATTAATAATTACTAGTTCCTTTAAATGAGAACATATGTCAAATATGTGTTTACAGTAGCATCAAAGAACCATGCACACTATAACAGGACTCATCTGGTACCAAATGGAAATCCAAATAATGTTCCCAGTTACAGAGAATCTCTCTTTCTGCATAGTGACAGCCCAGAGTAATCAACTACATTTCTGTTGCTAGCTTTGCTGCTAAACAAGTGCAAGGAAAATTGTGAAATTCAGAGCATGAGCAGTCAGATCTATAATTATTTTTTATCTTCAGTTCAAAAGAGCTATTGACTGATTGCAATACTGCTATCTGTGAGTACTATTCTTCCAAGCTCTGTTCCCAAGGTCCCTCGTGGTTTCTCTTTATTCTTTTATTGACTGATTATGGCAGAATTTGCCCCTAAATGAATCTGTCAGGCAGTAGCAGGGACTGACTGTCCCAATAGAAAAAAGTCTTCAAAAATGAGAAATTAATGGAAAAGCGGAGATGTTCTGGATTATTATTCATATGAAGTAGTATTGCTGAATATATTAACCTACTTATTTTTTTCAGAAAAAATAAATGTACTAGTCAGAGCAGCTGCAACTACAAAATGTTTCAAACAACTTCTTTGAGCAGATGTTGGAATACAGAATTGTTGTTTGCATGGCATCATTCAGCATTTTTTATACTGTGAAATCTAATTTTACAATACTTCTTGTTGCTGAACATCAGAACTTAAGGATCTCTTGTTCACTGAGTACAACCTGATCCACTTGGCAATGGTATCAGAGGAAGGTCTGCCAATAGGGAAAAGAGTCAGATGCACCATGTGAAAAATATTAGTGCCTGGAAAATATTTTTTTAACAAAAAATTGTAAACTCTGCTTATTTTTTACATATGTAAATAGGCAGTCTGAAACGATATAAAATAGATCTCACAGCATTGGAAGTAAAGGCTTGAAGAAGAATCAGAAAGCTTTCATTATCAGTTTGATCTAGCTTCAATTTTAGTGAGAGTACATTTTCTTATATTTTAAGATAAAGCTGACATTTAGCCCAGTGCTCACTAGTACAGAAGCGATTCATTCTCTGCAAGATTCTCCTGTGTTCATGTTATTCGTTTATTGGTAATGGTCTAGTCTAAAAGAGGCCAAGGGGACAATTCAAGTCTAATGCGTAAAAAAAGTAACAGTGATATGTTCCAAAATATAGTAGAGAATATGTACTAGGCAGATAAGCAATCAGCTGTGTTATGTGTTTGTAAGAGACAGCAGATGCTGTAGAATAGCAAGCATGTATTTGTAATGACTACGTAGCCGAGAAGGTTTGATTCCATTGTATCAGGTTTGTAGTACTTGCCAGTGAAGTTTAGCAGCGCATGTATCTGTGCTCCATGTGTGAAGTTCCCATTGACTTCAGTGGGAGTAATGTGTAAGGAATGAAGACAGAATATGGTCTGAAGCGGTGCTGAAGTACTGCAGCTGTGATGTGTGACAATATCCATTTTATAAGAGATATAAAAAGCCCAGAAATGTTCACTCAATGCTACAGTGCAGCACAAGTATTCCACAACTTAACATGAGTGCATTTTTTCAGCAATATTGTGGAAAGGATCACAGATTGAACAAGCTAAGACAACTCAGATAGATAAATCTTCAGAAAGGGCTGATACTCTCTGGGCAGGTAGAACAACAACGATTTTTTTTTTTTTTACGTGCAACTTTTAAGTTGTCCTCAGTACAAGCCATAGCTGGTGAAAATTACAGTAAGATGTTCAGCCAAAGAGTATTATGTAAGAAGCTGTTAGGAAAAATGTTATAGCAATAGAGATACATTACTTACTTGCAAGTGAATGAAAGGCCTTTGTTCCTGCTGCATCTCTTGGCACACTGCTCAGTGGTATTTAACAGCTTGGTTTTAACTTCCAGTGTTTTGTTTACTTTGATGAGCATCAACTCGCCTGTTTTTTTATAGTCATGAAGAGGATTTCTCCTTCTTCCTTTACCTTCTAAGAAAGAAGCAAGGAAGAAAAACAACAACAACAACAACAAAAAACCAGTGTAAAGAAGAGTCCCAAGGTTACAGACGGCATTAGAAACAAATAGCGTTTATTAAGGAATTATAGCTGTACTGGTACTTAAAGCATAGTGAAATTTACAAAACTAAGGTGCAAGTAGTTACATGAGAAAAATTGATTATTTTAAGTGATCTCCATTCTTAAAAGCTGGTGTGGTAGGAAAAACAGAAAAACTCATTTCAAATTTAGGATTGAATGACAGGAAAGTTTTTCATCTGAATATTTTTTTCAGAAGCCCTGAGATGTGTCTGTTCCAGCTCTTGAAAACTCTATCATGTAAATAATTCCATGAAAAACTGAAGTGACAAAGGTCTTTCTTTGATGGATAGAGTGGAATTAAAATCAGAATGAGATGGATGTAAATCTGAACCTGATAAGCTGTTTTAAAACAGAAAACTTTTTAATCACAAGTTCATAACAGATTTTGAGCCTAGAAGTAACACAAAATAGTCACTTGTGTCATTTGCTATTCCAGTGAAGATTCACTGTATTGTGTTGGATTTAGAAGTCAATGAAAGAGAATTATTAGCTTACATTAAAGAAAAGGAGGGGAGACAGAAGCCAGAGTGTGTAAATACTCCACACTTCAGAAGGATTTCTACAGAAAGATCTGTTTCTATATCTCTGTTGAAAGACCCAAGAAAAGGTGTTTAATATGCAGTAGAGAAGATTGTCTAGAGAAGTTTGGCTAAAGTGCAAGAGGAAAAGTCTTTGTACTTTACAAGAAAGAAAAACACAGATTTTCTATAAATGTTCTAAAAAAATATACATTTTCTATGTATGTATATGTTTGTTTTTCTCATACAAAGCAGTTTGCTTCTATAGGCTTCTCCATCATCAGTGAAGGTAGATGAGTATCTCTGGGGGAAGTTTCTCATTATTGTAAGTTACATGAGTAACTCAGGAAGGATAAATTGCCCTTTTGATCAGTTTCTTCTATTTCTCCGTTTTCACCCAAAGATCCAAGATGATCCTTTTAAATTAGATAGTTAATTCAGGAAAGAGAAAGAGAAAGAGAAAGAGAAAGAGAGAAAGAGAAAGAGAAAGAGAAAGAGAAAGAGAAAGAGAAAGAGAAAGAGAAAGAGAAAGAGAAAGAGAAAGAGAAAGA